CTGGGCCAAGCTTGCCAGTAAGCGCGTTCGCGATGTGGACAATGCGGATAACCTACGCAAGGCCGTTGATGCGCTTGTGAACGCGAAGCCAAGCATTACCGACTTGGTCTTGCAGATTTTGAACGAATTGCCGCAGTCGCAAACTCGGGAAGATGCTAAGCTGATGTTGCTGTGGCTTGCCACAGCCAATCGCCCCCTCTCGGTCAAGGAGCTCAAGGCTCTTGCTTCCATTCAGCCCGAGAAGCAGACCATTACCGAATATACTGAGGAGCCTCGCCGAATCCTTCAGCCAGTAAACTCCCTGGTGTTCCTGCAAGAGGACCAGGTCTTACTGCGCCATAGCCTCATTCGCACTGCTATCTTGGACATATTTTCCAAAGGCAAATTGGTACCGGCTATCAAGGATCGCCATGCTGATCTTGCTACCAGACTCTTGGTCTACATTAAGGCTACTGTTACCCAGCCGCATGAGCCTTCCCTTACACCCCTTGACTGGCATGACGTCAATCCTCTCATCAACAAGCACCCACTGCTTGAGTTTTCGATCCGTTATTGGATCACGCATTTCAGGCAAACGAATGTCTTTGTCAATAATGGTGAAGTTCCTGCTGCCAAGGAATTTGCAAAGCTGTTCCCGTCTTCCATCACGGTATTCCTCTTACAGAATACACTGTGGGAGAACCGACCAACTCCAGAATTGTTGGCATTCACGACCACCGTTACCAACGTCTGCCGCCAGGTCCTGACCAATAATCATGTGGTGACTTTACAGTTGATAATCACGCTGGCATTCCTGTACCGCCAACTCGATTATAACCCCGAAGCTATTCCTCTTTTCTATGAGGCAACTATTATTAGTCGCAATTTGCTCACCATTCGCCACCTGGTTACTATGAAAATGGCTGCCACCTTCCTTGAGATCACAACTGAAAGAGTCACTAGTACCAAGACAGAGATCATGACCAAGAGGGAGGAGATACTTCTGGTTCTGGTCGAGTGCTACAAGCACCACTACGACAGCACCCACGAGAATGTGATCAACACCTTGAAGCAGCTTGTCGAGCACTACAGGCTGATAAAGGAAGACAAGAAGGCCGAAGAGATTACCGTTACCATTCAGAAATTCAGTGGTGAGCACAGCCAAGGTCGTGACACCTATGGAAACCTGAATGTGCACCTGAAGGGTGGTAATGTGGTCACCGCTGGAGGTAGCACCACTCTCCTGCTAGACATCGAGGAGCATGATCAGTTGATTGAAGTTGAGGCTTGGAGCTTCGAAGCATTGATTAAGCAGGCCGAGAGGTACGTTGCAGAGGGCAATATTGAGTTGGCTGAACGTACCTATGTCGAAATCTGGCAACGCCTGAGCCGGGAGTCCCGCGTTCAGTATTCCGCCCAGGTTGAAGAGCGTAAGATTCAATCGGTTCTTGCCTACACCCAGTTCCTGAAGACACAAAAGAGAGAATATGAGGCCTCATCCATTCTCTCCAGTGTCTGGCAAGAGTACGAGCAGACAACTATGGCATTGTCGGAGACCTCAGTCTTCCACCTTCAGGAGATGGCCAAGGTGATGAAGACTGTTGGCCTGGCCACTCTGGCTCTGACTGTGTTCAAGCACTGCTCGCACTATTATCAAAGCACCAACCGTACCCAGTCTTCGACCTACCAGGAGATTCAGCAGAGCATTCATACAACCTCAAAGGAGGTTATGCAGTCTTTCAGCTCTTCTTCCACCACAGTGACCTCCGAGACCACCCTTGAGGAAATGGTTTATGAGGCATCCGCCTCAATCACGACCGTCGACCAGACTTCCTTCAGTGCGACACAGACCTTAGTCAGCTTGTATGTTGAGCAGCGGCGCTGGCAGGATGCTACTCGCGTCATCAAGAAGGTCTTGCACGGTGTCTGGTCTTCTCTGTTCGCTCCTTCCTTGCAAGATGTTACCCTTCCTGCCAAACATGTGGAAAGCTGCATTGAGCTGGCTGGGCGACTTAGCCACTGCTACCACTCTCGCCGTCGCTTGACCAAGGAAGAAGATATCCGTGTTCGCATCTACCGCGCTGTTCGCTCGGGTCGCAGTGTTGATGATAAACTGCGAGAGCGCATCACCAATGAGCTGCTCCGCCTGTTTGAGCGCACTTCGCAGACCGACAAGATCATCAACCTTCGTCAAGAGACGCTGAATGATTATACCAAGCACTACGGTCCTGAGAACCCGCTGGTGGTGAAGATTCTCTGGACCTTGGCTGAGCTGACTCGCCCCCGGCCTGTGTTCGTTGATTACTATCAGCAGATCATCCGTATCCTGAACAAAGACTCTCCTATTTCCCACCCCGAGGCCTTTGCGCCCCTTGTCATCGTTGCCACTGAATTATGGAAGCAAGGTCGCTATTCAGATGCTCTGCATCACTACCAGATCATCTTCACCACGTTCCTGAGCGAGCCCAAGCAGAACCCCAAGTTTCAGGACCAGACCTTTGTGCATGAGTTCTTTGAGCGCTACACCCACTGCCTGCGCAGCGTTCGTACCGAGTTCAGTGTACTCCACCAGGTAACAGTTGATTATCAGACCAAGTGCAAGGTTGTGTTCAGCGCTACGGCTTCGATTACTCTCAAAGCTACTTTGACGCTGGCCAAATTGTGCCAGGAGTCAAAGCGCTATGAACTTGAGGCTATTAGCTTGTATGAGGAGCTTCTGAAGAACAAGTCTGAGGAAATTGACCTGCAGGAGATTTCTTCTACTTTGGATGCGATTTACGAGGAACAGGCTGCCATTGTCACTTCGACCAAGACTGAGTCTTTCTCGTCTACTCAGGTTGAGCGTGCCGTCAAGGTTCTGAGGAAGCGGATTAGCACTGTTCGTGAGACCCACGGCTGGGCCCACGAAGAATCCCTGACCAAAATGGAAGAGATGATCAAGTTTCATGCTCAGCGCAATGAGACTCAAACTGTGGTACAGGAGCTCAAGGAGGCGACCGTGCAGATCTTGTCTTCCGAGACTTCGTCCACCCGCCTGATTGCGGCTGCCACGACCATCGCATCTAGCTACATCGCGACGAACCAGATCCAAAAAGCCACCGAGCTGACCCAGGAGATCTACCGCCAAATCGTGATGAAGGACACCAGTAACTCCAAGTCTGTCCAGTTTGATTTGTCCTCAAAAGAGCGCCAGAGCTTGACTTTCTTGGCTCAGCTGGAGTACAGCCTTCGCCGTAGCTCGTCGACCACTATCACTGAGATTCTTGCTGCCTTGACCACCGAGTATGTCTACTTCGAGGAATTCAGAAAGGAGATCAAGTCCAAGAGCAGCTTCCACAGTGTCTCCGTCTCAGCGGCTCGTCTCTACCAGTTCCTTATAGCCCATGAGCGCCATACTGCCGCGGCTCGTGTTTTCGATGATTTTGCCGCGTACTTCATCATTACCGAGGGCAAGCGGGCGCAACTGACTGAGATTTCCCAAGTCAAGATCTTCGTGCTCTCTATTTTGGACCACTTCAGCACCCATCAGTCTGAGAACTTCGTCCGGTCTGTGGGAATCACTAGCAATGACCATGTTGTTGAGCTGCTGAAGAACCAGCGGTGGGAGACTGCCAGTGACCTTGCTCTTGCTGCCTACAAGTATATCATCGCTGACGCTAGCTACCATACCCCTGAGATTGTCAAGTTTGTTTTCACTCTGGGTCTGAACATTGGTGGCCGTGATCTCGTGACCCGCCCTGACGAAGCCACTCGGAAGAAGTTGCTTCAGGTCTCTGGAACAATTATCCAGGATGCCCTCCGCGTCATTACCAGCTTGAAGATCAATTTGGCTGGCGTCAGCCTTGTTCACCTGAACAAGCTGATTGGCCTTCTCGGGGAGCAGGAGGACTACCGTACCCTGGCTTGGCTCTTGACTATTCTGTGGAACAGTCGTGAGGCCCAGCGCAACTGGCCTACTTCCATTACTCTCGCCCTGGGACGCCGCTTTATCATGGCCCGCTACTTGGTCGGTGACTACTCCGCTGCCCTCCGCCTGGCAGAGGACATTGTTTACAACTGCCGCCGTGTGCACGGACCTCGGCACCTGAGTACCCTCGAGATGTCCATACTGCTGTCCCAGCTGTACACTGGCAATGCCCAGCGCTACCAGGCCGAGAAGAATGGTCAAGAGATTGCCAACCGATTCTACAAGAAGAGCGCTGCCGTGCACGAAAACATTCTCCGTGTGTTTAGTGACCCTGATTATGCCGAACTGGAAGGAAACGATAGCAATGGAAGCTTTGATGGTTCAGCCTATGGGGAGGTGGACGGAATTGATGAGCACAACGGGACTTTGGGTGGTGGCGAGCACGTCCGCCAGCACTTGCACCTTCTCAAGCTCTCCGTTGAGCGCCTTGGTGACTGGCCCAAGGACTACGCCGAATACGAGAAATTGAACGCGGACGTCTTCAGAGTGTACAATGAGTACTTGGTCGGGGTCGAGGGCGTTGAAAAGTGGAATCTGAAGAACTTTGGCGGGGGCAAGGCTGAAAGCAACGAGGATGCGTTGGACTTGAAGTTCAAGCACTGGGAGCTTGTTGATACCCAACATCATGCGGAGATTGAGGAGGAATTGTGATTTTGCGATTTAATTTTATTGCCTGATATATCCCTGTTTGAGTACTTGGACTGCTTCTGGATTGTTAATAATTATACCTGTTAATTGAACTGGTTGACTGCATTTCAAATACTGTCTGCATTCCAGCATTGAATGCACAATGTAGGCTCCGGAAATCGACCCTGAGTCTAGACGGCGAGAAATAAAGTTCTAGAGACGGGCTGCCGAATGCGACCGATCGCGGGAGGCCCCACCATGACTGTATCCCCAGAATCCAGATCCACATGATCTCATTCATTCTGGAAGGGAAAGGAGAGGTCGATGAAGATGAGATCATGGTCATGATGTCATGCGAGTTATATAATGGTATCTAATTCTTCCGTTGAAGAATTTTCCCGTGTAATCTCTTCGATTCATTGTTATTGAATCCAACCTTACCTAGCTCCAATTGCTCTTCACTCATCCACTCTGCTGAGCACTACACTACACTATAATCCCTACGTTCTGACTCCTCGACGAACGCCCCCATCAAAATGCCCTCCAAAAGCAACAACAACAACTACACCGACCCCGAACTCCGCCAGGAGGTCAAAGAGGAAGTGCAGCAAGGCGACAAGGGCGGGAAACCCGGCCAATGGTCTGCGCGGAAGGTACAGTACACCCGTACACTCCCCCCCTTTGCCCCCTTTGCTTCTCCCCCATCCCTCCCCCAAGCACACTCCCAACCCGACTCTGACAAAAAGGCACCGACAAGGCCCAACTCACGGCCCAAGAATACAAATCCCGGGGCGGGGACTACACGACCAGCAAGGACGAGCAGTCGCAATCCCAGCGGAACCTGTCGCAGTGGGGCGCGGAGGACTGGGTGACCAAGGAAGGGTCGGGGACGGCCAAGACCGACGAGAGCGCGGCGGACGGCGGGCCGCGCAAGCGGTATCTGCCCCGCGAGGCGTGGGAGGAGATGAGTGAGGGGGAGAAGGAGGCGACGGAGAGGAAGAAGGTGGAGGAGGGGGTGAAGGAGAAGAAGCAGTTTGTGGGGAATACGGAGGGGGCGAAGAGGAAGAGGGGGGAGGTTTCGAGAAGGACTGGGGATAAGGATGAAGATGAGGA